AATATTTTTTAACACAACATAATTAGTTAAAATTGTTGTATTAGTTATATATAAATTAGTATAATTATAAATATTTTTACATTATTATCATTATTATTGTATAATTATTGAAAAAGTTCCAGAATACAAATATTTATTATCTATATGCACGTGACATCAAAATAAAAGTTAACAAATAACTTTAAAAAAATGAAAACTCGTAATTGTTCATTTACTGGTGAAGTCACCCTACGTTATAAGAATGTGAACTTTATATTTTTAATGATAACGTACATATTTAACTAGCTTATAAAATAGAAAATTATCTAATTACGAAAATTAACGACTGGTCGTTAACAACTTTTGACCCATTATTTTGGAATTTATAATTATTTTAAAATGTAGAGTGGTGGCAAAGTGTGTATTATACTATTTTTATTATTACGCATATTCTTCTTCCTAATATTTCAAAAGCTTTTATCAACCAGATATTTTCTTAATTGGATTATTTTGTATTTTATAAGTTAGTTAAATATGTATGTAATAGGATGAATTAAAAAAATACTTAATAATTAATAAATCGAGAAATGTACAAGATTTAAAAAAAACAAAAGGAAATTTTCTAACATAATTATTATTTTAAGATAAATCGTATGGTTAATATTAAAAAAATCACTCTGTATAGTATTATCTATCGTTATTACTACAAGCAACTGTTATTTACGGCAATCATATTATAATGTCCGGCTATCACAAAAATAAAAAAATAGACTGTTTACATTATTAATATGGTGGCCCGATCGTAACTCTCGATCCGAACTCCATAAATCTTCCACGTGTTGGTTTATCTGTGAACGGGTGAAGACGTGTGTTTATTTTCAATTTAACGCGTGCGGCTTACGCTTATCGCATACCTTTGACTTCAACTCGTCGGTTACCATACGCGTTTATTATCTCATTGAAGACCTCTTCATTTTTTTCACTCCTTTATTTACTTAATGCCTACTATTACGAGGAGTCTTGTACTTGCTACCAAGTTTTTCTAAGTACAACAACCGATCTCCGTTTCCGCTAGTAAACACTACTATAGTCTTCCACTACGTGACACACAATGTTTGTTGAAGGACTCGTAAAAGTTAATAGAAGTCTCGTTAGCTAAGTGTATACACTTTTATACTGTTCTTTAGCAAGTATTACCCTGCCAAAATCTTTACGCGAATATTAAAAATTATAGTTAACAAAGAAAATTTGTCACCTGTGTAGTATCAACTACATATTTATCAATATTTTTTTTTTATACATTTTGTAACATACAAAACTAATTTAAAGTATTAGGCATTCCATTAACATTGGGNTTTTTATACTGTTCTTTAGCAAATATTACCCTGACAAAATCTTTACGCGAATATTAAAAATTATAGTTAACAAAGAAAATTTGTCACCTGTGTAGTATTAACACATATTTATCAATATTTTTTTTTTATACATTTTGTAACATACAAAACTAATTTAAAGTATTAGGCATTCCATTAACATTGGGCTAATTGTGTAAATTTAGAAAATAATTTTAAATAAGCCACAAAAAAAGGTTCCACAACTGTCATTGTCATAAATTAGAGATTAATGTTTTTAATCGTCTTCGGTATTTCTTACAGCGGCGGTCATGGAAAGGATATCGAGATGCTGTATATGACTTATTTCGCAGAGCTTTTTTATTTGTATTAACTATATGGGAATATTATTGTAGACTAATTTAAATCCATAAACGGCTTTCTTATTGTTAAGTTTTCATAGTATAAAATATAAAACTGTCAGAGTATGTCAATTGTCAATTATCACCATAATTCTCTCTTATTTGACCGCCACGAATTTCTTAATGTGTGATTTATTCAAATCATTCAATTTTTCTCTGAAAATATTAAATGCTCTTAAAAAAAAAATAGTTTCGAATTTAAAAATGTATTTATTCTATTAAATCTTTAATTAAGTTACCAATCCTGAGTTTAAGTTGCATAACTATTTATATCCTATTTGAGATTAAAGTATAATCCGTGTTGACAAATTGTATTTTATCTGGCCCGTCTTAATGTAATTTTTTAAGCTGGATTAAAGCTTGTCGATTATTTCCCCATGAAACCAAACATCCATCATGTATCATTTTTCCCAGGCCACCTATTATACTATAAAGCATGTACGGAATCCATTGCACGTGTATATGCGGCACGTCAACGCGTCAGATCTCTGGATTTATCTCATGCGAGAAGGCTTAAATAAAACCCAACTGGTACACCCATACCCTACAGCAGATAAACATCTATAGAATCGTCGAGACAAATATTTAGTAAAAAAATGTCCTAACCCCAGGGATTACAGTTTCAATCTTGGATCCGATACACGTCCAAAAACCGTTGGAAGGATATTACATTTTTTTTTGTGCTATTTGTTAGCGCATTAAACGAGAATCGAACCACTTGTGAGACGATGTCAATCATCAGATAGTGTCAAATGTGCGTTTAATATTTGGGCACCCCCCGAGCACGATATTGGTAATGTTTGTAACACGTCATCTGTTAACTAATATTTACAAAAATTACCATTAGCACGTTTATACTTAAAAAAATTATGCTAACTCAAAGGTATGATAATTTGTTACTCTATCACAAAATCAAATGCTTTCAAAATGTTTTATCCTCAAAATACATAGTATATTTTAATTAATAAAACTATGTTCGATGTATCCAAACAGTACTTTTTCATTGTTTTCCTTAAAAAATGAAGAAATAAGTAGGCACTTATCGAATACACGTTTTTTTCTTTTCTCATTTTATAGTTGACGTTTAAAAATCTGATAAAACTAATTTTTTTTTTAATTATTATAAAAACTCTTATTAATAGAAGTAAAAATCAACCAAATGGTTATTATCGTATAGCATATTATTTCATGGGTGTTTTTCTACGTATCAACACTTTTTGAAATATAATTATAAGAAAGATTAATGCTTACAGTTGCCATTTTATGATTTCTGCAGTCGTTCTGAGTAAAATTATTGTTTTTTCGTAACGACGTTGGAAATTTATTTGCGTTCTACAAAACGTATAAAAAACATAATGTAATGTCAGCTATAATAGGCTAAATTGTTTGTAGCATACTTATTGTCATCGGAACGATGCAGTTAAAATACTAAATAGACGACTATTCAACGAACACATATTAATCGTGGGTGACCGAAATCGAATGATCATTTACAACATAGCAGAGTAAACAAACTGTGATAAAAAGAAATTCTAAGGGTAAACACCGTGACTACGTTTAAAATGAATTTTTCGTACTAAAGTCAAAGGTTTTATGTCCGCATAAACGCATATATAACAATATATTATTAAAAGTTCCACCTTTTATGCATCAAACAAAACGGTTCATTTACTTTCATTTGCTGAGTGCAGCAAACGTATGGTCGTACGATGACCCGAATTTGAAGAGGCTGAGAGTAATAAAACGATTTAAAAATCATATAATTTCCAGACCGTTGATTTTTATGCTACCAAATAGGGTTTATATAAAAAAAAAAACTTTGCGTGAGACATTAACTATCCACAAATATGTAAGTAGGTTTAAGTAAGTGCACTCGATGAATTTCTATAAGTTAACAGTAATTTAAATTTTAGTTTCGGTAGAAAAGTTTTGCTTTATCAACGAGTGCTCCTTGGAAACTTGTGTACGTACGCATAAATCGTTAACAAAAGAATACATTTTAACTGAAGTTCTTTTGGTGATCCCCTCTAAACGTAATCAAACGTTTTGAGTCTTTATCAAATCGTTGTTCGTTACTAAAATTTATTTCAAATTGAAAGTATAAATATTCAGTGAACGATACTAATATAGAGCAGTTACATATTATTATTGTCATACCGTTTCATTTTTGAACACTGATTAGAACATTTAACAGATGAAAAATACAATTGACCGATGAGGTGCCAACAAACAACTCGCTTAATGCGACAGCAAAAATAATAAATAACATTATTGTGTGATTAACATGCGATACGTTTTAGGCCATTGTCCGCTGCTACATTTTATTTAATCTTCATCCATCAGATGGAAATCTCTTTCTCCATTTGCTTACGCGTCTCATTTTTTCTGTTGTTCACACGTCTAACTCAAGTATTGTGACCTTTTTGTTATATAGAGTATTATTTTATACAATTGTACAACATAGTTGATTATACGTATATACGGGTAACACCTTATTCCGTTCTCGGACCAAAAATACACGTTAAAAACTTATCTGGCACCGCTGACAGATGACCAATAGTAAATGATAATAACACAATACAATGTACGTAAAACGGCCTTGTGGATGTTAAGTACGTTTATTAAGTGTACCTTCTATGGGTTGTAGGGTTAAATGAACGAGCTATGGTGACATCACCTGGTGTGATGTTAACAGTTTATACGAGGAACTGGAACAATAGCTTTTTCAATGTTTCAGTTCCGGTTTTTTATTATAAAACTTTAAGGTATCAGTTCGTTTAACTACTTGGTTTTAGTTCTTAAATACAGAGTTCTAGTTCTAATATACATTGGGCTCTTGATTTTATAATTAGTAACATTGGTAGTTCTAGGAAATAATTATTATTAAAAGTTTTGAGTCTAAGGATTAAATAACCTTGAAATGTTCACAATAGTAAGGTTGTAAACAGTGAATTACAGGGCAGGTGTCACAGCTCAAATCGGTATATTATTAGGCAAAAAATCGAATTGTATTAACAAAAAAACCGTCCTAAATTCATATCAAAATTATACAGAATGTTCAAAAAGTAAAGAAACAGATCAATTGTTACAAACGATGAAAACCCGTTTCCTTATTTACTGAACACTATATAACAAGCGTATTCTAATAGATTGGTAAAATTATATTTTTATATCAAATTACCTGTTTTGTATTGACTCATGAAAAATAACAAAAGTAATATATATAATAACTGAATTCATTAAAATTCATAATTGTTTTTTTTTTCAGTTTTACCAGACGATGGAGAACCCGCCCCTAATATTGATGAATACAGCAGCATTTCCAATTACGATGATTACGAAACGGATACGAATTCATCCGCCATCTACGAGTAAGTAACTTTAGCAAATGAGACCATCAATTTTTTATACTTGATTTTTGTCCATTTTCTTTATTGTAGGACTGAAAACGCTGAAGTAATTGCGAATAATTCCAATAAATCTAGTAAGTATTTCTTTTTGTTCTACTATAATTTTAATAGTACTACACGATAATTGCAATAATTTGTTAATTATTATTTTCAATTTTATTCGATTTATTTAACCTAATGAGTCCATTTTAAGCTTAAAATATACTTGATTAAATATTAAATGTATTAAAAACAGACTTAAAAAACTAAATAATTAAATGTTCCTTATCTTTACAGGTAATCTTCATTTTGTTCGGCCACTGATAAACATCACCAGAGATTCGGGTACTTCAGTTAAACTACGATGCGAAGTATCGGGCGAACCCCTTCCGATTCGCATTCAATGGTATATGAATGAAGTACTAGTCAATAATGAGCCTGGAGTTGGCGAAAAAAAATCAAAACCTAGGATATCAGTTAAACGGTACTCGCCAAGACACAAAAACGCCATGGGATCACGTTTGAGAATAAATAAATTGGAAGTTCACGATACTGGATTTTTTACTTGTGAAGCGTTCAACGGGGTTGAAAAAATTCAATCGAATGCAATATTAAAGGTCAAAATGAACCCTTTTAGTAAGTAATTAAATTTAACGTAACATAATACATTCATAATTTTAATGGGGTATATAGTGTTTACTAGGGTGGCCCTAAAAAATCGAATGTCTTTTTTTTTTTACGCTACCCCTCAATTTTTTTTAATGGTCAAAAAAATGAGCTGTGCAAAATTTGGGACCAATCCGTTAAGGTTAACCCGTGCCCCGGGCCTATTAAGTTGAGTCGTAGAGTCAAATTTAATAGAAATAACTGATCTATGTCTCATAACTTTTTTTGCTCTTAACTTAGAATAATAAAAGTAAAACTCAAGTAAAGGAAATTTTACAGGAAATTCAAAAATAATAACTTCAATGTTGTTTTTTCAATAAATAGCCCACAAAAACACTACATACAGTAAAAAACATGTAAAAGTCTTAAAATACGTTATAACTGATTTTGTTGATTTTTAATTATTTATTTTCATTTTATTTTTTGGAAAACGCATATTCGTTTAAAAAAAGATTCTAGAAGTTTAATTTTTTATGCCAAGTACGATAATTATATTAGATTTATTATTTTATGGACAGTTAATTAATGATTAATTACAAATTTAACAAAATTGATTGTATTATTACATTTTGTCGTATCAATATATCAATTTTGGTTTACTGAATTACTTTAAGATAGTACCAATTATATTATTATTAAAGATAAGTATATTTGAGTTATTTTCTTATATTATTCGACAACTGAAATAATTTGTGTCGTATAAATGCAGAAGACAATTTGTGAACACGTTAAATATATTTTACCTGTTTATTATTATATATTAAATGATACGTTTTAATCACAAATGTACAATACTTTTAGCGTCTTTTAAAGTATTACGAACTAATATTTATCTTATTGGTAATTATTCCCACGAAATAACTGGTAGTAAGTTACCATCAAATTTACAACTATTTAATCTGAACACTGATTTTTTGAAAATTGATCCATGCTTTAAATACTATAAGTAAATTACGAGTTATTAATGATACAGCCTAGCGTGGCATTAAATTAATCTAAGACTACATTAAATATAAACTACAAATGAAGAACAGAAACAATACGTTTTACAAATAGTAAGTAATTATCGGAAAAAATTTCCTAATTGTAAAAAAAGTACATTATCAAAAAATATATTATAACAATATAATTTAATTATTGTTAAAATATTTTTTTTAAAGTTATTATTATTTAAAAAAAAATCAATTAAAAATTATTAATAACAATTAAATTTAACTGTTAGGTTTGTAATTAATCATTAATTAACTGTCCATAAAATGATAATAACTTTTAAAAAAATAAAAAAAAATAAAAACTTCTAGAATCATTTTTTAAACAAATATGCGTTTTCCAAAAAATAAAATGAAAATAAATAATTAAAATTCAACAAAATCAGTTATAACGTATTTTAAGACTTTTACATGTTTTTTACTGTATGTAGTGTTTTTGTGGGCTATTTATTGAGAAAACAACATTGAAGTTATTATTTTTGAATTTCTTGTAAAATTTCCTTTACTTGAGTTTTACTTTTATTATTCTAAGTTAAGAGCAAAAAAAGTTATGAGACATAGATCAGTTATTTCTATTAAATTTGACTCTACGACTCAACTTAATAGGCCCGGGGCACGGGTTAACCTTAACGGATTGGTCCCAAATTTTGCACAGCTCATTTTTTTGACCATTAAAAAAAATTGAGGGGTAGCGTAAAAAAAAAAAGACATTCGATTTTTGAGGGCCACCCTAGTGTTTACATATATTTGGATATATTTACTCTATGACGATAAAAGTACATTACTATCGTTTGACTTTTAAAATACAAGATTGAGAATAAATAATTTATGTTTTCGCAGTTGGATTTGATTTCCTTTTACTATGAGTCCATTAGAGCCATTAAAATAAACTTACAGTTTTTTGACCGGACAAATATGAAAATTTTTAATTTAAAATAATGTATTTTAATTTTAGCGTTTTAATTTAAATTATTTAAATTATATTACTTAGGTTCGTTTTGTTTTTTAATTTTATATGTAGGTTTTATTGTCCTAAAGATATTTAAAATATTACATTTTTAGGTCCACATGATTCGAGCATAGATGTTCCACAATTTGGTTTTTCAAATCAGCTGGTACCAGTTATGTTAGATGGGTAAGTTACTAATGTTATTATTTTTATAATAATTATAAATAGCTGAAGTTCAAAAACTTTATAGTTTATAAAGTTTTATTTTTATTTTTGTTAACACATAATTCAAATTACCCGCCAAAAAATGTAATATCCCAGTGTAGCCAACAAGAAGAGAAATCAATGTTTTTACAGCCCTTTTCGTTTTTAACGCACGCGCAACAGTTTGTTTAGTATTTACATATTTCTACAATCTCACGTAATAAGTTATCAATTTCTAAATCTCCATCATAGATATACTTAATAATTACTTATTGTTAATTGAATTATGTTTCTCTTTTTAAGCTAAGTGCGAATACCAGAATGATTGTATACATTTTCTTAATTCATGTTTTTGTCTTAAAATTCTAAGTTTATTATTGAATATAGACAAAATGAAATTTCTTACTATTATTTCTTTGATAGCTTTTAGTAATGCTAAAATTCATGAAAAAAGGTTTAACTTATCTCATACTCTAATAACATTTTTTTCTGAAGAGCAATCCTGATTTTTTTTAATGTTACAGGGATTCAAAGAGTAATTCACAACTTGGTTTTACTGAGCCACGGAATCCTCTTGAAAGTATACCAGAGTTAAGCCAAATTCTAACATATCCCATTTGCCAAGTAAGTAAAAAAATTAAATAGCTATCACTATAACTAAAGTATTTATTGAATTTAACTTTAAACTTTTAATGAAAATAGATCAATGTATTTACCTATTATTATAAACTTAATTTGTTCATGTATTAAAATTTAATCATCGTTTGATAAATAATAATATTATTATTTAAGTATTCTATGTATAAACAGCTTTATTAAAAATAAAAAAATTAAGTTCTGTATTTAAATATATATAATGTATTAAATAGCTTTGACATCACTTAAATAACAATGATGTTTACAACAAATTTAATTGACATACGTTTAAAACAAATAAAATTTTATAATGATGAATGGAATTCCAAAAAACAAACATGTACATATATAAACAAATAATAATAATGAAAACAAAATTCAAACATATATTAGTTTCATGGAAATTATGGAGAAATCTTCTATATGCTTCATTAAAAAATTGGTCACAAACTAAAATTTATATCTAGAGGAAGTGTATGATCAGGATATGTCTAGTCATAAAAATAACAGCACCCACTCTTCACCTGTAATCATTACTTTCTTATTAGATTATTAATTAATAAATAAGCTAATAAATTATGTGTGTTGCCATTTAAAACATTAAAATTGACACCCTTATAAGATATAAAGGATGAACAGAAAAAAATTTAATGATTGAAAAATTGAGAAGAACATTAACATTAAGTAAAAGAAATAAATACAAACTAATTAATATTATTTCTATTTTTCAATTATTTAAGTGGTTAAATAATCTATTAAATTACAGGGTTTAACCAATTATAATTGGTTAAACCCTGTAATTTAATAGGCTATAATTTTTGAAAGGAAAGTGATTCACAATTAGTTTTTTATTTGAAGATTTGTAATGATAATTTATTTAACCCAAAATGTCACTTCTTTTCTTTTGTCTTTTACTAGTTTTTATATTGGTAACATTGTATCAAAACTTTGCACATTGCCTCTTTTTCTAAAACCACTATTTTGTGATTCGTCCTATAATTAATCAAGAGCTAAATTACAACATTGTATTTTTTATTATACTCTATTAGGTAAACGTAAGTATTGGTATTCTAAATAATCTATAAATAAGTACATTTTATGCTATTATTCTAAAGTTAAAAACAAATTGTATACACAGCTTATTTCTTGGTCATTGTTATTTTTAGCACAACTAAAATTGATTTAAATTTTTTAATAAGAAAACTATAGTTTTAGTATTTGCTTTTTGGTCGTCTTTTATAATTTTAAAAACAAATACTTTCATTATTTGAAAAAATATATTTTTAATAAGCGTGTTTAATGCTTTTATAATTCAAAGTTTTATATTTTGTCTTTGTAAATTAACATATATTTTATACAATTAGGTTTAAAGTTTTTTTTTTTTTTTTTGAAAGTGAAATACTAATATTTGTGGTATTTTTAAGTTATCTTTTGCAATCAAACTTTTAAATAATATTTAAGTTTCATTCTTGTATTCTTAAATTAAGTTTTAAAAATGCTTTTATTTTGTCACATACTAACCTTTTTAATGATAACATTTGATATATCAAATGAACATCTAGTTGATCACGACATTTTTTGGGTTAATCCATGTGGCTATTCAAAGAAAAATGAAGAACCTCCTATAACACCCTTAGATGTTATTAAACGTGTTTTATTAGAAGCGCATTATAATCATCATTGTTTTAACCAGTTCAAGTATGAATTTATATATGAATTGACTGGTGTTGAATTTGATAAACATTATGAAGATTGGGAATATCTTTATAATAGTTGGATGACTAATGAATTACCAACAATGCCAGGGATAGTTTTATCAGAGACATGGTTAAACTCACGTGAATTTCCTAAAGAATTAACTTTTACATTTGAAACACTACAAAGAGCAGCTGTTGGTCTTGAAAAATTCTTAGATGATAAAAAAAATGAAGAATATTATTCTACAAAACTCTCTCTATGTAGAAATAAACTAAAAACACTCTTGTGTGAAGTTTCTGACGGAATTGAAGATATGAATCAAAATAAAATGCCAGACATTAAAAGAGAAGTTATACCAAATGATATTAGAAATGAACCTAATGTTGCACAGAGAAACCTAACAAATTCTTTAATTTTTAGGGACTATATAATTTCTATTGAATATATATTACAAACTTATAAATATTTCCGCAATTCTTATGAACATAAATAATTATTGAAATTTTCATTAATTCTTGTAATATATAAGATGAATTCTATGACATGTTAACGTTAATAACTATTATTTCATATAAAAATGTAAGGTTATAATTAAAATAAAAATTAACTATTATAATTCATATAGCTTTCATATATTTTGATTAATACTTAAAAAGTGATTACAAATGATATTGAGCTGTCTATCTGTTATACAGGTGGTAAAATTAAATATATAAAGTGTGGACTTGCATGTTTTGACAAATCCTACAAAATTTGATACTATTTTGCTATATTTTTTTATGTAGTTTTTTTTTTTTGCGTTTTAGGTTTATAATAGTATAAATTATATAATTTAAATTTATTTGATACATGATATCAAACGTCAGTATAAGTTAATAAGAAAAATATAGAAAATAATTCAATCTGTTTATGCTAAATATTTGTTATAGGCACAATTTTTTCCATAAAAACTATCATCTCTTGAAGGAGTATTTGTTTGAAAAATAAAACACATATAGTAATAATATAAATATTTTTTTAGTAATAAGATTTTATTAAATTTGTCTACAAAATATTAATTAGATATTTTGCTACCTAATTTTTTGTTAAAAAGTGTTCTAGAAAATGACCATCTTGTGTTTTTTAAATTGATTTTTAAAATTTTAAACATATAATTAAATTTACAAAATATTATCTTTTATATTATTATTGTAGTCCAAAAGCTTAAAAATATTTAAAAAAAAAAGTACTGTAAAATAATCACTGAATAGTTATAGCCTATAACTTATGGGTTCCATCACAGAGGAACAAATCAGGAGCGCGTAGAATAGTCAAAAATATTACTATAAAACCGTATTTTAACCGAAAATTTTTTTAGTGTGAAAAGGAAATTGATCAAACTGTATTTTTTTCAAACAATATAACCAAATCATATTTTAAGCAAATAGTAGTTATATCAAATGGTATTATAAATGAAATGTACTCATCAAAAATATTTAAACCAAAAATTTTATTTGTTTTATTATCAATTATTAAACGTTAAATGCTATTGAAATTTAACTAATAATTAAAATTAAAAAAATATATATTTTTTCAACAAGGTTTTCAGATTTTACAATCCCTCTAACATAATTTGAACTTTTCACACTAACTTTTTACTTATAATTTATTTTTACATAACAATGAATCAATTTTAGGATACACAATTTTTAATATAATCGTAATGATCAGTGGCATACACATGAGACTTACGGGATTATAAGTCTAACCTTTAGCCAATTTTTACAATAAACAATGTATAATAAAAGAAAATATCATTGTTGGGAAAATTATTTTTTTTAATGTAATTTGTTCCTTTTTCTAATAAAGAATTTGTTCCAAATTTCAGTTCCTTTAAAAAAAAATCTGTTTACCCTTTTTCTTTCCTGTTCTGTTAAAAAAATATTTAAAAGCGTGCAATTATTATATTATTATGTTATAATCATAGTTTAAAATTAAAGTATAGAGTATATTTTAATCTTCATGTGTGTAGGCACAATTTAAACAAAATATTTGGAGATTTAATATAATTTCCCTTCATTAAAAATTTTTTTATAAAATTAAAAAAAAAACTAAAATTACGTTTTAATTTAATTAACTTATAATTAATTTAATTATCATATAATATTCATTAATCACAAATTTTATTTTACAGCTTAACTTAAAATCAATACTAATTGTTACTAATTTTTTCATACTTTTAGTATTATTTGCTACTAAATTTTTTACACCTTTAATACTAATTTGTAATGAAATAATTATAATAAAAGTATATAAATTAAATTAATACTCATAAATAACTGATAAAATCTTATTAAGCTATTCAAAAATTAAATTAACCATTTAATTTTTATTTCATTATTTTATTTCAAATAATAATTAATTTTATTAGAATAAATGTAGGTCGGCTAATATTATTTTTTTATACTGCTTCCGTAATACATAAACATATATTTCTTTATAGGTTTATCAAGGTTCTTTATGCTCAAAATATCTTCAAGAAAAAAGTGTCTACATACCAGGAAATACATCACAAGCACATATTGAAGGAAATTTAACTTCAGCTTTTAAAGTTATCTCTCATTCCAGTGATCTTACACCTGGTTGTGAAAAATATGCCCATAGATCTATTTGTCATACTGCTTATCCTTTATGTCGAAAAGATAGAGCATCACCAAAGCCATTGCTTATATGTCGTGAGGTATTTTTTCACAATTATGTTTTTAAGATATTGTTATTAATATGAATTTTTTTTTTTTTAAGGATTGTGAACTCTTAGAAAATGATATTTGCAGTCAAGAATATGCCATTGCTAAAAAACATCATTTACTTGGACGTGTAGTACCTTTACCTAATTGTTCATCATTACCAGAAACAAATTGTTTTGAACTTGGAATTGAAAAACCTGAAGTTAATAAAGGTATTCCATTATTTTCTCAAATGTTCATTGAGAAGCTCATTTAATTGAGTCCATGTGAATATCTTGTTTACCCTACTGAATTTTAGAGTACTATTTTAAATCATAAAACAAGACTTTGATATAAAATTACTAATTAACTAGAATATTTGACTAAACAATTAAAATTTTATAATCAATTTTGAAATTCTCATAGTTAATATTTAAAAAATGTTAGATGAAACGTGTTATTGGAGATTAGGCAATGCGTATAGAGGTACAGCATCATCCTATCAAAATCTCTCTTGTGTACGATGGAGTCGACAACTATTAGTTAAAACATCTGATTTTAAAGAGTTACAAGGTGGTCATAATTACTGTCGAAATCCAGGAAATGAAGAATCAGAACCTTGGTGTGTAGTTGAAATGCCTGATACAAAGCTAATGAAAAAAGTTATTTGTGAAGTTCCTCACTGTAGTAAGTTATTCCAAAGTTAATTACTCAACATAATTTTAATAATTGAGAAACTATAATTTGTTTAAATAGTGAGGTCACTTCAACCATTCATTTTTATTGTTAGCACTATCAGCATTACTCTATTCATTGTATTATTAGTTATGGTAATTTGTTGTATTCGTAAAAGGAGAAAACGCCAAAACTCAGCTATTAGACGAAGATTACCTCCTTACACAAATCAAAAAGTATAAAATAAAATCTTTTCAAAAATATTATTTTTTTATAAATCATGTTATTTTATAGCAGGATATAGTAAAAGGGAAAACCAATGGATTAGAATTATCATCTCTCATACCTGGTTCAAGTGCATCCAGCCAAAAATCAGATAAATTTACTAAAGTACGACAATATTCATTGGGTGAAATAACATTCTTACAAGAAATTGGAGAAGGTGCTTTTGGTAATAAATGAACAATAATGATATTTATTAATTTTCATTATAATGAATTATTTTTTTATTATTAGGCAAAGTATTCAAAGGACAGGTACCTAACGATATGGGTGCCATTATAATGGTTGCGATTAAAACATTAAAAGAAGGAGCTAGTGCTAAAACTGCTGCAGATTTTAAACGAGAAACAGATTTGATGGGAGAACTTCGACACCCTAATGTTGTTTGTTTAGTTGGAATGTGTGCACGTCCTGCTTGCTTATTGTTTGAATTCATGGCTGGAGGTGATTTGCATGAGTTCTTAATGACACGGTCTCCTCATTCTCCAAATTCCCCAGTAGCTCCACCACTTAATCAAGCTGACTTCATGTATATAGCCACACAAATCGCTGCAGGTTGGTTGAATTATTTTTATCAATTATTATCAAATTTATAAAGTTTTATCCAATGAACATTAAAATTGTGTAATTTTTATGTATTAACTCTTTATTAAAACAATGTTTAGGTATGGAATACTTGTGTAGTCATCATTATGTACACAGAGATCTTGCTGCAAGAAATTGTTTAGTTGCTGAAAATCTAACTGTGAAAATATCAGATTTTGGTCTATCTCGTGATATTTACTCATCGGATTACTACAGGTTAAATAAAATACAAGAATTACAATTTTGTTAAAGAAACAATTTATAATTTAAATTTATGCTCATTTTTATAATTAGGGTGCAGTCAAAATCACTATTACCTGTTAGATGGATGCCTCCAGAATCAATTTTGTATGGAAAGTTTACTACTGAATCGGACGTATGGAGTTATGGGGTTGTGTTGTGGGAAGTATATAGCTATGGATTACAAGTAAACATTTCTATTACAATTTTTTTTTTTTAATAAAACATATTTATAATTATCTCAATATTCTTTGTATTTTCTTTTAGCCTTATTATGGTTATAGTAACCAAGAAGTAATTGAAATGATACGTTCGCGTCAATTACTCCCTTGCCCTCAAGAATGTCCTTCTCGAATGTATTCACTTATGATGGAATGTTGGCATGAAGCACCAGTGAGAAGACCAAACTTTACAGAGATACATTCAAGACTGAGGCAATGGGCTGCTATGTCTGTGTCTTCTGCCCCAACTATGACATACTCAATGGTCCGTCCGAGTAGCCAATCTGATCGTACAGGATCATCAAATGTATCTTCTACATGTAGACCAGTAAATATTTAATAATTAAAATTATTGTGGTCATTTATAAAAATCAAAGAATTAAAGTTACATACTTTAGTAAAAATATAGATTAAAATAAATATTTATTTGACGTTGAATAGACAAAAGTTATAATTCCAATTAACATATTAACTTTATCTTAAAATTTCTACTTTTATAATCAAAATAAGTATAGATACTTAAGTATAACTTAATGATTTTTTTCCATTGCATTTTAAAAACTGTAAACATTTCTTATTTCTGATCTTAAAAAATATTTGTATCAATTTATGACAAAAAATTGTTTTTGAATGGAAATCCATCCTTAGTAGAGATTTAAACATGTTGACTCAATATTATTGTTACTATTAATCTGAATAGGTCGCTGTGTTTCTTTTGAGTCATATTATCTGTTTGACATCAATGCTTTTTTTTTTATTAAAATAATATCTTTTATTAAATTATTTCATGAAAAAATTCACAAAAAGTATTGAAATAAATTGTAAAAATGTGTGTTGACCAATTTATGTTGTAAGTGTCATGTGTATTATATTACTAATGAAAGAGTAAGTATTTATTTGTTTTATATATTTATACATATATATTTATTTGTAATTGTATAATCTGTACAAAAATAATTAGAAATAATTAAATTGTACATTGATTTTTAGGCGTAGAATATTGTTTATAATTTGATGTTTAATAAACCATGTATGGTATCTGACATTTTAATATTATTATTATAATCTAATATTTATACTTTTATAGAAGTATCATAAACATTGTATTAAGTATTTAAATTTTTTATTTGTCTATTAATACACATTCTAGTCTACTTAATATTTAATGTGTAAAAGAAACCTAATTGTATAAAAGACTGTTATAACTGTTTTAAATAAAAATAAACTGTGTTTTTACTATTTGTAAAAATAAATTATGATTTCTTAAGTTTGATTATTTTTATTATTTTCTATATTTTACATATATTACAAAAAATTATAAACAGTTACAGTGTCAGGAAGAACAATCAAAGACTGTAATATCTTTTATAAATAATTTGTTTCAAAAATTATAAATTAATACTATTTAAATACAGTAATATTAATTATTCTTGTAATCAACTTAAAGTGATATAATATCTAAATGCTTTAGACACAAAGGAATCTACAGTAATAGTCTATTCCAATAAAAAATTAATTTAGCTACTGTTGGCTTGTAATAAAAACTAGCTGAATCTTTCATTGGCCAAAAATTATTTTACATTGATATTTAATACATCTAAANATCTTTCATTGGCCAAAAATTATTTTACATTGATATTTAATACATCTAAATTTACCAATACTATTAAAAACTTAGACCATTAATATTTGAATACTATTTATACATTAGTAATGTTGACCCAGGATTTCCTAGAAAAAATAACTATAAATTATCTAAAATAGACCAAATATATAGTTTAAAAGTGTAAAAATAACTAGGATTCCTCTCCAATTCTCAAAAAAAAAAAAAAAAATTATTTGCAAACACATTTGAATCGAAGCATTTCATTATTTTATTTAAATATATTTACTAAAATTTATGTTGTTAAAAACAATAGAGATAGTAAAGGAAAATTTTTTAATAGTCTAAATCTTATATTCTAAATACTTGAAAATTGTACAGTGTCATTATTTTATAATGAAACACTTATTTAATCAAAAAAAAATATATTGATATATATATATATTTCACTTTTAGTTACATAATAATTTTCTCAATTTATCAACCATGAAGTATATTAGATGTTCATCCCATGTTGATTAAATAATAATCTAATTAAGAAAATTCTCAGCTGTACTTCCCCTCTCGCGTGTATTTGAAATTCTACATAACTTTTGAAATAATGGTTAAAAAGTTGTTATCTACCACTCTTTTTCTTAATCAGACCATTATTATCTCATTAATAAGCTAGTTAAAATTATATGTTGTCATTTATAAAACTCAAGTTGATATAATTAAAAGGGGCATTTATATTTTTATAGAAATTATAAAACGTCAGAAATATGAAATATTAGTATAAAAAAGTTTTTACGTTTCTTTAATTTTCAAATATATCTAGTGAGGTGCACTTTAGGAATTACCTTGTACACGACGATAAAATAAATTGTAATCTACGATTTTATATAGATAAATTTATGGGCGTCCTTAGAATTTTATCTTAATGTATGTTTTATGTATTATAAAAAACATTTTACTATCACTTCCAAAAAAGAAAATGTAATGTATTATATTTTCAACAAGTAATTATTTTTGTCATGCATATTACTAATAATGAAGGAGGTGTAATCCCCGTAGGTATACTTATAAATTATTTGTAATTTTTTTTTAAATTATTAAGACTAAGTAGAATTTATAAAATAGAAGATTTCAATTAAGGAACTATTTATAGGCAAAATAATTGACAACACACCACATGAACGTCAGCGATTGAAAAGATAAGATGGAAAAACGGTACCAGGGATACAGGAGGCTCTGTTCGTTTCTAAGTATTTCTTACGATGACGATTACAATGGATAAATAAAATATAGCAAAATCAGTACCAGGAATTCAGAAGCTTAATACTCGATTTTGTCTCAAACGACAACAGGACGCCTTCGGTATCAGCCGTCAACACTCCACCAAATGGTTTATGTTATCCAACCGAAAGCTGATTATATGACGTCGCTGTTCATTGACGCAAACTGATCCGAGTGTCTTATAATATATTCTTCCTTATTAAATAAAAGATCTGCAGACAGTCTGTCTTTATTTTAAATTTACCACAGAAACTGTTCCACCAAATAAATTTCTCAATCACATCTGCAATGAATTGTTTTATCCATAGACATATAATAGCACCTCCCAACACTATTGCAATTTCTTTATTGTAATTTTAATAACTGTCAGATTTCAACTATGACTAGTCCTCACTATACCCAGTCATGACTTTAATAGGTTTCTTTTATTACATCTTAAAAATAAAAAACAAAACAGTTTTATAATCTAAAGATAAATAACTAAAAAGTCTTTAAAATAAAATATAACTATATTTTGGTCAATATTTATTAAATTTTTATTTTAGTATACTACAAATTCCTGTACCCTCAAATACAGGTATTTTTAGAACATATATTTTTTACTCATCATTATTTAATAATAAAATATTGTCCAGAAATATTAAATGAAATAAATTTTCATGTTCGTAAAACTAGATTTTTTTGCTCATTTATTCAATTTTTCAAAACAAATTTAATCATTTGAGTGAACTATATATTAAATACTATAATACATAAGCTTCCATGGTCAATTAATTTAAATTATTTTAGAATCTCTAAACATTTTACCAATAATCCGTCTATGGATTCTTTATAAAAATGTTTGTGTAACATATTTACTTGTTGCATAATATTGTAATAATACAAAAATAACTAAATAAGGAGATGTTAGGGTGTTTTTGACCAAGATTGGATATTTTGGGGATTTGGTCAATTGGTGAGCAACGAGATTCTATCGGGGTTGTAGAGTCCGAGGGTTTAGAACAATAAAGACAAGTAGATATAAAAAGTAATAATCAAGGTTCTTCTTATAGAGATATTGTAAATGATTCAACTAGTAAGTACCTGTAATAATACACTGAGGCAACGAAGAGGCGGTGGCCATCTCACGAATACCATGTAATGTGATTATGTATAAGGTCCGAACTAGTTAATAATAATTAATTGAAGTTTAAAAATTAATATAATTATTTGATCTATTGCTTTATCGTTCTATACTCAGATTATTAATTCTAAATAATTGAATTATAAGATAATATAAGTATTGATTCTTAATGATTCAAAGTCTTACCTGAAGATTTTTCTTGTTTTAATAATAACTTTTGACAATATCAGATTATAATAAAATAACACGAACTCAAATGTTTAGTTCATAAATTAACAATTAAGAATTTCACAATGATGATTACGAACTTGGCGTATCGATGTCGAAAGCACGATTCGACCAGCTCAATGAATATTCAGAGACAGACTCTCTTTAAGCCTTCCGCACTCAGCCCCTTTATAGTATTCCCTTTTATCCCCGCACAATCATCATTGTGTCATTCTCGCAATGTTGCTATTTTATTGACAAGTCATCATAAAATATATGAATTAATACATTAAATACATAAATACATGCGAATAATACACAAATCATTTTGACACTTCATATAATATTATTATAGTTAGTTAAAAAGAGCTGACAAGTATAATTTGTGAATTTTCTCAAAGAAAAAA